TCTCGAATATATTGAAAGTATCTCGTCCGTTTATTGTCCTTATATGAATTTTGTGTTGAAGAGTTAGTTTGTTTATGTAGGAAATTATTGGAAAGGAGAAACTGGCAAATACCAGTCATAATCAAATCTCCCTGGATAATGTACCTTTACATATTCGTAACAGCCGGCATAATATGGTTATTGCTATGTTGTTTGATGATTTTGGTAATGATGAGAAGGATACTAAGAAGCGGGAGTTTGGTATTCCACATGCACTGCAGCCGTTTGTCTTCTTCGGTCCCGTTTAAGGAATTAGCCTCCTGTTCACTGTCTTCGGCTTCCTGTTCTCTTGCGTCAAATCCATCTAAATATTTAAGGCAAGGAAGGAACTTGAAAAGCTGTTCACGACAATATTTCTTTTTGAGTAGTTCTAATGTTTCAAGATATGTGATTTTGTTTCCACTCATGTTCAATTATATGAGCTTGTCTGAAGAAGGTTCAAACCATTTGAGATACGGTTGTCGCTCAACTTCAACTTCTGCAAGATTGGTAACTTCGGAAAAACTTTGAGGCTAGTGAGCCCGACGTTTATGAGACTGAAATTTGTGAATTCGTCTGTGAGACCTTCAATCGTCAAAATTCGGCAATTATTCAAGTTTAGCTCGTATAATTTGCTTCGGTTTCCTTCCCCGTTTTTCCAATTCGATCCTTTTCTCCATGTTTCTCGCTGTAGACGGGACGAAAATAGGGAGAGGTCGGCGTTGTATCGTCTGACGGGTCTCGTACGAATGTCGGCTGGCCCAAGCGGTGCTCGTTCATGTCGGATTCAGGATCGACAATCTTTTTTTAAAAATAGTAGGTATTGACTCTCAATTAAGTCTCTGTTGAGCGATTACATCGTATTTGAAAATAACATGGTTGGCAGTTTCTTCCACCTCTTTACATAACTTACAAATTGTTCGTCATTGAACCCATGCTATGTAGGTCTATTTTATGATGCCAAAGACCTTTAAATATATTGTTCTGAGTTTTACCCTGTCTGACTGTAGCAATGTGTCTGCTAGTTTTGTGGATTGTTCTATAAACATAAGTGAGTATACTATGTTTATACCCTTTTGAGTTTGTACATTTCGTTTTGTTTTGTGTGTAGCTTCTGAGATAAGGAGCCTGCTTGATCTAGTTTCCCAATTATAGGTACTGTGCCTGTAGTTTGTCTTGAAGACTCTCCTCTGGCAGTATGTCTGCTTGTTCCAGAATTCCTCGTTTTGCCAGGTTTTGGAAATTTTCGATGAATGGGTTGCGTCATTTTTGGTTCGTTAAATGTCAAACAGTATTCACATGTGTTTCGAGGTACATATATATATGAAAAATATTCCATGATATCCATTATTTTTAGTGGTCTAATGGACCAAATTACTTCTTACAATTAATTATTCTTTTTATGTAAGGTTTGGTTGAGATGAAAAAGTTAGTATTACGAGCGGGATTCGCACCCACGACCTTCGGCCGAAAATTGAAAGATGAAATTCCATGATATGTTATGTCATGAATATCACATCTTTTAAATATACAAAAAAAAAGTTGAATAAGTTTTAGTTTATTAGTTTGCCTAAAATAGTTTGCAATACCTACACTTAAACTTATGTTATTGTTTTGCTCTTGACCGTATAAAATAGATAATCAGAGGGTGAGTAATGTGTCCCAGTTCAGAATTACACAAACCACCAATAGAAAAATGTTCTTAATTTTTAGGGTGAGTAATAATCTTGCTCTTTATCTTAAGGTGGCTGGTCTTAGCCTTTGAAAAGTGATGTTATACTACTAATACTATTATCAGTTGATGAACTGCATGTCAATCTATTTCTCCATGATTATGTTGCTGGCCGTTAAGCCAAGGGAGGGGGTGTACCGAAAATGGGAGATGATGCGACTTTTTCATCAATTCCATAACTCTCATTCAGTGTGAAGATATTCCCAGATGGTGGGCTTAAAGACCTTCCTTTATTTTTGACTAATTCAGTCCCGCATGTGTGCCTGTGAGTATAACAATGTTTGTACTTTTTTTTTAGAATTTGAAATGCTTCTCATCTTACTAAGAGTTGAGAGATCATAGTGGACCCTAGATCCTACGTAACTTTCAAGAGTTCGATATTTGGCACTTCGCCCTTTTATTAACGTTCTCACTTTAATCCTTGCGCCATAAGGGTACTAACACAGTCTGTTGCTTCGTTTTTGTTTATATTTTATTTGAAAATCATTTATGCTTTCTGTGAATGACCATAACATAACCTATGGCGTATAGGGTAATCATACTACATTCCTTCAAAAGCATAATTCTTTTCCCCGTACTGTAATTGCTGTAAAATTCCTTTCATGCCCTGGTTGCAAGGCTCTTTCACGGTACTCTTTCTTAATTCTGCACTCCGTATCTTCTGTTTATAAATGTCTCTTACTGCGTGAATTCCCATCTCGCAGAAGGCAATATTGGATAACTGATTTCCTTGCTAAGTCATCCGATTTTTCATTACTCTAAAGCCTTATCTCCTGTACGGCCTGTAACCCAGCGGAGGGTGACTATATTTTGCATATTTTGCATTACAAACGTTTTGCGTCGCACTTCAAACCATCTTTGTACTGATACTGTTTGAATTAATTGTTCTCAACAAATAGCATCTACCAATTGTGTGAGGTTTCTTGAAAATTTAGTATACACTTGAGTATTTGAATTTGGGATCAAATTATCCTTCAATTCTCCCTTAACAAAGTGAGTTTAATTTGAACTCCCTTGGATTGGTCTGATATTCTTTCATCAGTTTGGCTCAACTTAATTATATTGCCTTCTACCCAAAAATAAAAATACCAATTTTGCTTGGTCGTATTTCGTATTTCTTGTCACTAGCCTCCATTCCAGAGATGGGGTGTAACAGATGAATTGAAGTCACGTTAATTCAACCGTTTTATGTCTGGTCAAAATTAAGTCGTAAATTGTATTAAAATTCCTTTGTCAAACTTCTTCACAAAAAATATCTGATTTTAATAAGATAATTAATCATTTTAATTGGATTATTTTAATCTATTGTCTCCTATGCTCTGATAAACTTCTATGTGATGGTGTTGTAAGACAGGGCTTCCCAGACGTTTTACCCAGCGGACCCATTACACAGAACAAAATCCAGGACGGACCCCCCTCATTCACGTATTTAAAATTAGATACTTAAAGTATATGTAGTAAATAAAAGTTTTTATTAGCTAGCTTAATTAGGTGATAGAGAGGGATATCACTATGAAAACCAACACTTGATTGACATACTTAACTTTATATAAAAATCCAAAACACAAAATCAAATTGGACAGAACGTAATCAATAGGTATGTAAAACTCGATCCAATTTCAAAAGTAATAATTTGAACATTAATTGTTTACGCCGAAGCGTAATTTATTCTATTTTCTTATTAAAAATTAGATAGTTAATAAGTCTTATCAAAATTTAATTCAGTTTTCTTTATTTTAAGCCTCTGATAGGCCTGCCGAATGATGAGAGGCTTAGTTGGCGGACGGTGTGAAGCTTTCTCTTGATACCGTCCGTTGTTCAGTACACACACGTTTTTCTCTCTGGCCGGGCACCTTGTTGTTCTCAATATGATAAAATTATTGGGTTGTCCGGAAAATAATGCAGGATTTTGGTATTAAACAAAAAAAAAAGAAACTAGTTACTTTAAAGCAATGTTCTTTAATCAAAATAATTTCCCATACTCTCAATACATTTCTCCCAACGTGTTGGTAACTTATTAATTCCGTCTGAGTAGAATTCAGAATTTTTAGAATTGATAAAGTCAATAAATGCATTTTCCAGTTCCGTTTGATTTTTGAATATTATGTGTTGTAAGTAGTGGTCCAGGTGTCTAAAAAAATGTTAGTCAGTAGGCGAGAGGTCCGGAGAGTAGGGTGGGTGAGGCAAAGTTTCATAGCCAAGCTCCAATAATTTTTGTGACGTTACACGTGACACATGTGGTCGAGCGTTGTCATGCAACAAAATGGGCCCTTTCCGATTGACCAAAGAGGGCTTCATTACTGCCAATTTCTGATGCATGGTATTAATTTGGTTACAGTATGATTCAGCATTGATGGTTTCGCCAGGATTTAAGAAGCTGTAGTGTATTAAACCAAATGAAGCCCACCATACCGTAACCATTACCTTTTTTTGATGAGTTGGGGGCTTTGGAACTTCTCCTTTGTCGAGCCACTGTCCAGAACGTCTAGTGTTATCGTAGAGAATCCACTTTTCGTCACATGTAACAATTCTGGCCAGAAATGGGTCATTTTTGTTTCGACAAAGAAGTGATGCACAAACATCAAAGCGCTGATTTTTTTGGCGATCGTTTAATGAGTGTGGAACCCAATTTTCGAGTTTTTTCACTTTTCCAATCGCCTTGAGGTGGTCAGCGACGGTCGTTTTACTGACTTTGAGTTGCTCTGCAAGTTCTCGAACAGTTGTTTTGGGGTTTTCTTCCACCACTGATCGCAGAACATCATCATTAAGAGAGGAAGGCCTTCCACGACCTTCTTCATCTTCAAGGCTGAAATCTCCCTCCCGAAATTTTTTAAACCACCTTTGCACAGTGCACTCATTAACACAACCCTCGCCCCAGACTTGGTTAATGTTTCTAGCCGTTTGGGCTCCGCTTCGGCCGAGTTTAAACTCGTAAAAGAAAATCGTACGAAATTCTCGCTTTGACATTATAAGGATGACTGAATTATTTCCAAGTAGCGGAATGCTACAGAGGTAAACAAACAATATCATTTGGAAGAGGATTAATAAGTGTTGACATTCATACAAATGAGTAATCCTGTAAACGTAAACAGAATATTTTATATAGATTTTTTTTAATGAAAACTTAAAATCCTGCATTATTTTCCGGACAACCCAATAGTTAACGTCTTTCCCCTCTCAACGAAGTATTTCTCTCCGTATTGCAACACGAGAAAATTATCTTCCGAAAAGTACTGTTTATGTTTCACAGCCAATGTGTTAACTGCATTTCCTCATCATTCCCGGAGGAAAACTCTAAGGCCTTGGAGGGGACCGACGGGCGTTATCCTGGAGGAACGAATTGTAAGGTGAGTGAAACATTGCTACTTTCGGCAAGTGATTTTCTCATTTTTTCCCTTACGTTGTGCATTCTTTTGTTAATTATTTAAGAGTTTAATCAATTAATTTTTATTTATTTTATTTATTTGTTTTTAATTATTTTAATTACAATAAGCGTACGGCTTAATCATTAATGATTTTTGAATTAGAGGGAGGTTGTTTTAGCTTGCACAGTTTGGATATTTTGGGCTTAATTTTTGATAGATGGAGACGGGAGCTTCGTTATTTAGTTTTGGTGGCTTTATAGTTAGAAAGTTCGAATTCGGATAGGTAAGTTCCGACAAATGGAAGAACACGTTTTCCTTTTTCAACGAGCAGTTGAAATTTTTTGTTTTCCAGGCAGAATCAAAAATGGGGATAATTATCAGACTCGAAAATAGATTTCAGGGTGGAGTCTGAAGTAATGTCTATCAAACATTCGTATTCAGCTGAAGATAGACTGGTTGGCGTCGTCGAAATTGAAAACGGTTTGACCACCACGGTTTTAGTACAGAAATGACTTATGACATGATTTAAGAATTATTTACTTTTGGCGTAAAAAATGTAACAGTTCCCTTCTACAAATTCACCATAAATTGGTATGCTAGGGGAGTGTGTATGAAAATGCCAAAAAACCAATAACAACGTGGAAATTATATCTACAAATAAAAAAAAATTAAGTTTAATAATAAATAGCACGTTGCCCCACCCAAAATGAACATTTATGTTGCATTGTTTTCTGTTTCTAGGCCTAAGTTATCCATTTGGTCCCTAAATGAAATCAAATGTGAAGTAAAACCCAAAACATTTTCTTAAAGAGTCAAGTGTTGGCTCCTTTAGTACATGGCTAAGAACATTAACAAAAAATAGTATCTACCATTTAAAGAGGAAAATTGTTCTTCTTCTTCTTCTTATTATTATTATTAATTATTATTTTTTTGTCCCCGTTTGGTATTGTTCTGTTCTCCAATCAATATTTTCCCCTCAAACCATTTTTTCTCATTGTATTGCTTGCGGCCCTTAAATAGCGATTTACCTCTCAAGGCTGTCTATAGTACCGACTTAAGTTATATTCATGTACATATTTTTCTTTTGCACTGGGAAATTTGTACCAATTCTACCTCTTTTCTTTCTGTACTACGTATTAGCGTAATAAAGTTGATGAAAAAATTTCCCTTTTTATTTTTGAATACCTGAACGGCACAACGGATATGCATGGGTGTCGCTAATAATTCGGAGCATTAAATTATGCCCACAGAACCAGGAAAGTGGTTCGCGGAATTATTTCATGAATTATATATAGAAATAAATTGGAAAACCTTAATTTTACAGTAGATTAATACAGCAAACTATTTTAATGTTTTTATTTTGAATAATATGTTTCATGTGGTCATTCTTTATATCTAAAGTTATATGAACAAGTTCTTCAGTCAGGTCAATCGATAATAATTTTCATTGTCTTATATTAAACAGAAAATAGAAATTAATAAGATAATTTTTGGTGGTTTTGAAGTTGTACACAAATGATCAACATTTTATGACTATTTTTACAAACTTATAATAGATTATTTGCATTTATATTGAACTTATGCTAGGGAGACAGAAGTAAACTGATTAATACAGTTTTCGTTAAATCACGACATGTCTTACAAACATTACTGTATGTTTGCCTATTAATCATCACCAAATCATCAATTCCTTTTATTATCAAAAAACGTTCTCTTGATGAACAGTTTTGCAGATTATACTACGGTTTCCGAATAGGAATACTCGATTTAAATTAACCTGTCTGACTGGTGATAGTTACAGACCAAGCCTATTCTGCTTAATAACAATCTCATTTTATTATTATATATCCAATAAATTATCTCCCCAGGTGAATGAAATGGCAAAATGGTACGAATTATTTTAAAAAATAAATATACAAAACTATTTTGCCGAACGTTTTTCATTCCAATTATTTTGTTTTCTTAACTGTTGAACAGTAACGATTTTGGCTAACACAATTAAACTAATACGTCGTACTACTTAAATAAAAGAATTTTTTACTCACGGAATAAAAATATTTATTTTAATTAGTTTGCTTTATTTATTTATTTATTTTTTTAAATTGTTTTCCCCCTTTGCATGTTCATCTGTGAAATATCTGTAGTAAGTATTCTGAATGTTCTGTTGTTGTGGCTTATCACAACTGTGATGTAACTCGACTTGACGACATCCGATCAGATGAGAACATGAACTTGAAAGGTGAGTCAAGTTACTTATCTTTAGACTCGGTTGATCGGGGCGTCGATGGCAGCAACGGTTTAGGTGTTGACACGGCGCTCCTCACCTCCGGTAAAGGTCTCGGGTTCGAATCCAGAGACCCTGCATACGACATACTTACAAATGGGCTTTTGAAATACCCTCTTTAAAAAAAAAAAAAAAAAATAAAAATAAAAATAAAATAAAATACATTTAACTTACTGTTAAAAATAAAATATATTAACTTGATTGTGGAAGACAGTGTATTTATGGAAGAAAGTTTATTTTTATAATATTACCAAATAAATTTTGTCACAAAATATCATAGGTACTAGTTGCAATGACAGCTTTGACTTCTTCTTCATTTTAACATGGACATGTTTTTGGGTTGGATACACAAATTTTTTAAGTGACCATTTTCGCGTCGTTGATTTCACGAGTGCTAGAACGGTTAGAGCTGCTTAAGCTCGGTTTGGTAACGTCGGTTAGAATGGGTTAGGTTACGTATACATGATTCAATGTTTCATCTTAGCTATTAAATTTGTTTCAGGAACTAGCAGAAATTAGTTTTTGCCATAATGTGTGTGTCTCAGAAATTTTGGTCACACCCATTTTCCCCTAAAGCAAAGGGCTATAGTAGTTTTCTCAAGTATGTATTTTAATTTTTTTAATCATGCAGTTATACGTAATTGAATATCAAATTTGTCTTTTCAATTGAGGCTTTTTTAATGCACAACTGTATTAGAATTACAATAAGTAAATATGTTGTTTACAATTTGCACAACAAGACTTTGTTACATGAGGGGGTCATCACCCACTCAATTATGATAATTTTACCTTAAATAAATTTGAAGTACTCATTCAAATCGCTATTTAAATTTAGAATATTTTTTATATTATTTTGTATTATGGTGTAACGAATTAAGTTGTATATAAGTTATAAAGGATTTGATAAATAAAAACCTGCAGATTAAACACGAAGCACAACGGAGCATAAATGACATGATTTTTTGATGTATTCCTCTCCTGAATTTTGCTGAATCTCTTTGGCAGTACTTTACCTTTGATCTGATACCAAGTTGAGTCCTAAAAAGCCCTAAGCTTTTGATATCTTATCAGCGAATATGACTAGACAGCAGTAGAGCGGATATCCTTAAGAAGCAATGTCGAGTGTGTTTGCTCGATGTGATGTTCGAGTTCTTCTTCAGTTGGCTCCACATGAAATGGGGCAGGAGAGGAATTGTTGTGGTTTGCAATATCTTTGCCGGTCAGTACAACTTGTACCCTCTCAAGGTTTGCTTGTTGAAACGAAAATCTATCTTTCAAAGCTCGTCTATTCCCGGATAATGGTAATCCAGGGGTGGCATGACATCTACTAATTTGCATCGAGTTATGCTGAATAATAAGCAGAGAAATGATTCCAGCAAAAGACTATAAGTGGTATAAAAATCAAGGTCGAGGCTTTTCGTTGGATGTGATGTTCAAATTCTTCAGTTGCTCCCACATGAAATTACGTTGTCATGTAGCAGGAGAGAACGTTTTTGTGTTTGCCAAAGCTCAAAGCTTGCCAGCCAGAATAACAAGTTATTAGGGCAGCTTGCCGAAACAAAAACCAATTTTACTAAATAGTCGACCCGACGCGAAAATTCGTGTTTCTGTAGGTCTTTGCAACAACTCCGATTCTTAGAAAGCGCGGGTAAGTCTGCCGTGTGGTGAATTTCTAATTCATCTAGAACTAAAAACTTGTTCGAGGTTCAGCACTGCTATACCCAAAGTTAGCAAGTAATAAGGACGGCCTGGTCTATTTTTCAAAGCTCGTCTATACACTATATCCTGAATGTACAATCCTCATTCTCTGCGTTGCATCACTGAATCTAATTTAAACGTCTTAAATTTACTCGAATTTCGTTTACTTATCCTTAATTTATCTATTCTAAAGAGAGATAACTAATTTAAGCTTTATTGAATTTATTTAAATATATTATTTAAACAAAATGATAAGCCAATGTTGTCGAGACACTTCGTTATTTTCAGCTGTTGAACCTTTTACACCTGAAAATTTATGTTGATTTGATTATTGATTTGTAGTACAGCTAACATTAACGATCTGGTTTTTCATATCTGATGGCAAGGAATGCCTTTAGAATTTCATTGTGTGACAATGGCGAACACCCTTAAGAGGGGTGCTTATCAACGTTTGGTATACGTTGACATCGGGTTTATGTTTCACTAACGAGAATTGTCCACGATTGTTGCTGATATGTAGGCGGCCAACCAGTTGTATATTCTTGTTCCAACTGTTATCAATTCGGCTATAATAATTGGACAACTCGACAGTCCCCGGGATCCGTGGAGAGTGTCGTTTGCAGTCAATTGAGTCTACTCCCGACTTTATCACGATTTAATGATCTCCTTTCCCTTTTGTACTTTATTAGTGTATAAACGTCATTGATTCCTGAATTCTTGGGAACTGAAAGTATTATATTAGCCAATAAAAATGTATTTCATAAAACGAACCATTAGAAAAAACATGAAAAATCATAAAGAAAAAAAAGAGAAAAAGAAGAACAGAGATGTCAAATACAATTCTAATCTAGATATATTTAAAAAAATTATTCAGCCCAACCAATTGCATTCAGTTTTACAGTGATTTATATAACCATTTTTATTTAGTACTGTCTTAAACCTTTCGGCTCACTAAGGTTTAAATTTTAGTTTGTTACGTTTATTGTTCAAGCTGTTTGAA